ACTTATAACCTTGCCACCTTCTGGAATCTCTGCACAGCCTTCATGCCTGCATTTGTAAATTGTGGGTGATAAATGTAGGCTTTTCTTCCTCGAAGGGCTACGTATGATGTCTAATAACTGTTGTGTAAAGTAATGGGACTGACCTGTGTCGTGTCAGTTTTGATCTAATAAGCTTTGCGTCCAAGTGAAAAAGATTTCATTGGAAAGGATGAAGTTTATTCCAGCGATGGTGTTACTTACCGCTCAGCCGAGCCTTTTGGTTGGCCTTCGGTTTATGAGTCACCAAGGAAAGTCATTTTCTTACACTAGAAATTCCAATGTAAAAAAGGGCCGTGTGACAGGCTAATCCAGAGGGACGTGTCACCAGGAAGAGGCCAAAAGTCAGTTTCCACGAGGCTCTCAAGGTGGCATTCGTTCCTCTGGTGAATTCTTCAGTGACTCAAGCCATCTCTCTCTGCAGGCTCACAAACCTGATTTTTCATCCTCCAGGGAAGACTCACATTACCCACGTTCAAGGTAACTGATGTATAAACCCCTCATGCCAGTGTGCTGGTCTCTTGTGGGCCATATATAGCCCTCACCCAGCCTGGGGCCTCAAGGCACGTTACCCTTGACCTCTCACCCAGAGAGTGGCCTCAGCAGAGGAGGGATGGCAGAGGGGTTAGGCACGTGGGCTGTGAGGCCAGCCAGACCTCATTTGATTTTTTTTGGTTTTTCATTGTGCCAAAATATACATAACATAAAACTTACCATTTTAACCATTGTCGCATGTGCAATTTAGTGGCATGAAGTGTATTCACAGTGTTATGTAACAATCACTACTATTTCCAAAACCTTTTCATCATCCCAAACAGGAATTCTATAACCATTAAATATTATCTCTCCTTTCCTCCTGCCATCCGCTTGGTTACCTCCATTCTCTGGTCTCCATAAATGTGCTTCTTGTAATTACTTCCTCTAAGTGGAATTGTGACGATATCTGTCCTTTTGTGTCTGGCTTCTTTCACTTAGCATAATGTCTTCCGGGTCTATCTGTGTCAGAATGCCTTTCCTTTTTTCTGGCTAAATAATATTCCATGGGGTGTTGTCCGAACCTTGTTTTGTATCCTTCCTTTGCTACGAGACAGAGGACAGGCTGCCTGATGTCTCCAGGCCTCAAAATCTTCTTTGGCAAAGGGATGATAATCTCTGTTCTAGATGATTACGAGGTCAGCATGGTATCTGGGACACAGTAGTGCCACCATGACCTCCTTGGAAGGCATGGACTTAGAAGGAGAGTAAATGTAATACGATCAGCTAAAGTAACTCCATGCTTCCATTTCTGCCATACCAAAGGCCTTCAGGTGCTCAATGCCTGTCGGCTAAAGTCACATTTGCCTTCCTGGCTTCCTTCTTTCCTTCCCCAAACTGCTCTCCCAGCCCTCTCCGTACACCCTTTTCCATTCACCCTCCCCCACTCTATGGAGCAAAGAATATATTAAATCATGGTGTAGATACCCTATGCCAACCCTGGGAATCATTCTTTCTCTTCCTAGGAAAATTTATGTACCTCTCATCAAGCCCATTGAGACATTGGCTTTAAAGTTTAACCCTCAAAGAGAATGGAATCTTATTTCTGTCATTTCCAAGTTTGGGGTGGACCTCTCCCCATGATACCCAAGAACCCACGATAATTACTTTATAGTCATGCCTCGTTTTGTGAAACTGAGTTGACCCAGCTTGGTCACCCTGTCCTTCTCCTCCTCCTCCTCCTCCTCCTCCTCCTCCTCCCCCCCCTCGTCCTCATGCCCCATTGACTTGACTTCAAGTGACTTTTGACATTTTAAAAAAATCAAATCCGTTGTGGGTACAAGAAGATTTATTACCAGTGAAAACGCTTTTACAAATCTGACATAGACTTCAAGGGCAAACCAGAAAGATTATCAACAATGTTTTAAGAAATGGCAAGCTTCATGGAAATGCAGTGTCTACTTTGAAACGGAGGGCATTCATTTGGACAGGTAGATTATTGTACAGACAGTCCTCAATCTACAATGATTTGACTTAGGATTTTTTACCTTCACTACAGCTCAAAAGCTATATGCATTCGGCAGAACCTGCATTTTGGATTTTGAATTTTGATCTTGTCCTGGGCTAGTGACATGCGGTACAGTCCTGTCTTGAGATGCTAGTCCGCCACACCGTCACGAGACTAAACAACCGATGGACTACACTGTACTGTGTTCAATAAATTACATGAAATATTCAACACTTTATTATATTACAAAATACGCTTCGTGTTTAACGATTTTGCCCAACTATAGCCAATGTAAGTGTTCTGAGGGATGTTTGGTAAGTTACGTGTATTAAATGCATTTTTGACCCACAATATTTTCAACTTCCAATGGATGTGTCAGGAGGTCACCCTGTCCTAAGTCGTGGGGCATCTGTATGTTGCAATACCTCATAGTCAGAACTGACCCATCCAGCGCCTTGTTTGTGGGCAGCCAAATACCTTCCGGGGTGCGGGTGGGGCTGGCAGCCAAGCCTACAGCAGCCCATGGCAAACCCAGAATTTACTGGAAGCTTCTAGAGCCTTCATCTTGCATTCTGCATCGTAATCCGTCAGTGACTGGTCTGAGATGTGATATACTGTTATACTGATAGACTGTTCTAGAATTACCCCACCGCATTCCCCCTGGGACAGAAGCTCCACTATGAGTGAAGGAGGGTCCGACCTGTCACTTTGAGTCCCTGTTGGTTGCAAAGATTGCTATTACACGTTCCAGCATTTCGTGTGAAGGGAAGTCTAGACTCTGTTAGACGGTGTTGATTTGTCTTGATGGATTCTCCTGTCTGTTTCTGTCATCTGGATTTGAACCACTGCCAAACCACTTAGAACCAGTTCAGAACCAGTTTCAGCAAGTTTGGGCTGGTGAATTGATGGTCCCTGAGGCCCTGAGGCTGCCCCCAGGAGCCCAGGAGGGAGGCAGCGAAGGAGGGAGCATCTGCTTTGGCTTTTTAAACTGAGCCCTTGCTCCTCCTACTCTGTGGCTCTGATACAGTTTGAGGGCCGTATTGCCAGGTGCTGTGTCTTATTTTTGTATCACCTGCAGCATTTGGCTTGTGCCCTGCACGCAGTAGGCACTCGATTAATAAATGTCTGTTGTATTACATGGAAGTACACCTGTATCAGTCTGCTCTGGCTGCTATAACAAAATACCATATAGACTGAATGGCTTAAACAACAGAAATCTGTTTTCTTGCAGTTCTGGAGGCTGGAACTCCGAGATCAGGAGGCCAACCTAGTCCCTTCCTGGTGAGGGCTCTTCTCCTGGTTTGTGAGCTGCCACCTTCCTGCTATGTCCTCACATGGCGGAGAGAGAGAGAGGAAGCAAGCTTTTCCTTCTAAGGGCACTAATCTCCTTATAGGGGCCCCAGCCCCGTGACCTCATCTAACCCTAATTGTCTCCCCAAAGCCCCATCTCCAAAATACTATTGGAGGTTAGGGGTTCAACACATGAATTTTGGGGAGATAGAATTTAGTCCACAATAGCACCCAAAAAGTGAAGTAAAACCAAACTATCATGTAACATTTGATTTCTATCTTATCCACCCTCCTAAAATAGAAACGCCCAGCCACCAGAATAAGAAATATACTCAGGATGACTGAAAATAATGTACATAAATGTGTGTACACATGCACACACACACACATTGTCTCCCCTGGAATCTTTGTGTTTGCTCTGATCTTGGAGATACTCAATGAGTGTGCTTAGAATAGAGCAGCTGACACAGAATAAAGGCAATGTGTTTTTATATACATGGCCTGGAAACTAATTTAAACATAACTATTCCCTTTTAGGCCATGTATCTCATCAGACAGCCTTTTCTCTCCTCCCCCTACTTTCGTGCCTGGTGTTCTTTGATCCATTCAATAGTGATAGACCAAGGAGAATAACGTGTTGACAATACTGACAAACATCTACCAAGATTTTGTGCCTCAAGCTCTTGTGTACTTCTTTAAATTGGCAGAGATTTTAAAGAAGAGTTTTATGTTATTAATAAAACATTCTTAGGGGAAAGACTATTCTTTGAAAAGGCCGAGGGAGGGCGAATGTTTAGTTTATTCTTAAATACTATTCCCAAGGCTCTTTGGCCTTAATTTGAACACTTTTTGCAGGCGGGTACTTTTATTATTTGTGTTTAAAATTATAGGAACATACAGAGTGGCTGAGGATAGAGTCTCCCAGAGCCAGATGTCCGGGATTCAAATCCCAGTCCCAACACTTGCTTAATCCGTGGGTGTTTGTTTCCTCCAAGTGCAACAGACGACCTGGTAGGGTCATGATGAGGATTAACCCTTTGCACTCGGATGTTGAGTGTGACTCGACACAGTTAGCATTGGTTATAGAGATTAAAATTACTCTTTGAATGTAATTTGAAATATAAAAAAATCCAAATACGTTTGTATGAAAAGAAACTCCAGTTTTTTATTCTACCGCCACGCTTTGTAAATTCTGGGGTATTTAAAAAATTAACTCCCGAGTAGAATAAAGGAATCGATGAAAAAGCAAGCGAGTGCAAAGGGTTAAAGATAATAGTATTTGTAAAGTGCTCAGAGCAGTGCCTGCCACGTAGCAACTACTATATGAGTGTTTGCTAAATATGTTAACTTTTTAAAAAGAGGGCATCTTCCTGTGGATTCAGCTTAAAATACGGGGAAGGAAAGCCATGGGTTTGATGACTCTGCTAAAGAGCCAGTGTCATCTGCTCATACAACACAACTGCTCGGAAGCAAGACGGAAGGTCTCGGTCCTTTGATGGCCTTTGACTTGGCTGTTTGCTCACTGGTGTCCTCCTCGTCCGTTCCTCTGGGGTTTATAACAATCATTTGCATCGATCTACTTGAGCTTAGGGACATTGCATTGGAAAAATGGCGGCAGCCTGAGATGGCCCGTCTTAGGAGGAGCATTGTCATGTCACTTAACCCTTCTCCGCTGTGTTCTTCCCCCCTGCAGCCCAAGCTTTTGGCCAAGGAGCTTCTTGACCTCGTGGCATCTCACTTCAATCTGAAGGAAAAGGAGTATTTCGGCATAGCATTCACGGACGAGACGTAAGTACCGACGAGAGCACTCAGAATCCGACAGAAAAGGGCAGAACATGAAATGGCGCTGGCTGCCCCAGCTGTGTACAGGGGGATCAGCTGCAGGCCACTTGGTTCCCCTGGTCTGGGGTCAGTCCAAGGTCATGGTCCACGTTTCAAAGGCCTTGTGATCATCATGCCTGGAACGGCCACAGGATATAATTAGGGTGATGCTAATATTACAAAATTATTAGGTAAGCTAGTTCTTATAATCAAGCAGGTTCGTGTTCAGAATGAGATGTTTATTTAAAAAAAAAAAAAAGGAGATCTGCATGGGTTTGTTTTCTATTAAAGTTAAACGAAAACTTCTGGAAATGAAACATTTCTCTCCCGTGTTGGGATAACAATAACAGGAAGCGGATTTAATGATAAATTCACAATGAAAAGAATCTGTGCAGTTTCACTGTCTTAAGCTGAAATCGAGTGAATATGAAAGTCAAAAATTCAGATCCCTCATCTGTTGGGAACGGTATTTGCTTTGAATGGCCTTTTCCATTTGGCTCTGTCAAACGGTGTTTTATAATGCAAGTAAGGAGCATCTTTACTAGAATTTCAATTTTCTTCTTAACCCTTTGCACTCGGATGTCGGGCGTGGATAATGAGAAAAAAGTGAGTGCAAAGGGTTAATATACTGTTATCAAAAGAATATGGTGAATACCTGCGCAGATTCCTAGATAAAAATAAGCTGTTGTAAGCAAACGTTTCATGATTCTCTTTCCTCTGTACACACACACACACGCACATGCATTTGCATGCGTGTGCACACGCTCCTTTGCATCTTTGGAATTACAGAGATGATTTCCTAAACTCCTAGTAAATCAGTGTCAGGTTAGGCTGGGCGAGACAATACCGGGGTGCCGTGCCCCAGGAATCGGGGGAGCCACTGAGGCAGGATGGGTTCCAAAGCAAGACCAGGGTAGCCGCCATGTGGTAAGTGGGAGACGTGTCCAGGTGGATCTGCACAAGAATCATCCCTACGGGAGCTGCCAGTGGACAGGCGGGCCGTGTGATTTATTATCCAAATCGGAACACTATGAATAAAAGGGGTATAAATTGGGACTGTCTTGGACAAACGGCAACATGCGGTCGCCCTAGCGACGTTTTGGGCCGTGGAGTGTTCAGGGAGTGGGAGGCGGGAGCAAAGCCGCATCTTCCTCAAGAATCGAGGTCGGCCCCTAGGCTGGGAGACCGATCTGGAAGGGGGGACGGCTGTGGCTGCTCAGGAGGCGTCACCACACCTGCAGGAAGGGACGAGAAAGCCCTGCTGGGAAAAGTTCAGGGTTGTAGCAGAAAGGAGCCAGTGTGATAATTTAAAAAAAAAAACACTTTTAAATAAATACACATCTAGAACAATTACTTTCTCAAATGCAGATGTCTTCTGCTCTTTCTCCTTAAACTCCTTAAATTGCTCTTCCTGCTTTCTTCATTAATTAGAAGGAAACCATAAGTTTCAATGAATCATGTCCCCATTGTTCACGTTTCCCAAATAAGTTCACTAAAAGGTCCCGTGAACTTTAGACAGGCCCAATTAGACTTCCCTGTGGAGTAAACAAGAATGGGGGAGAGCGAGCATGTTATCGCGAGCCAGAGGGGAAGAGGGATGTCTGCTGAGTGTTCCAGATCACTGCCCCAGGGGCGCTCGCTGGAAGGGCCTGGAAAAGTCACTGTTCTCCCAGGACAGACAAGGGCACGAGAGCCACGTGTCATAGGAGGGGGTGCACACAGCAGGTCCAGTTGTCCCATCCAGCGAAGCCTGTATGCAAGGGGTCCATGCTGTCCTGGTTCTCTGTGCTGGCCAGGAAAGAGTGCATGTGTGCATGTATGTATGTGTGTGTATGTGCATGTGGAGGCCAGGCCAGGGAAGAGTACATGTATGCGTGTGTGTGTCTGTATGTGCATGTGCATGTGCAGGCCAGGCCAGGAAAGAGTACATAAATGTGTGCACGTGTGTGTATGTGTATGCATGTGTGTGTGCATGTGGAGGCCAGGAAAGAGCGCATGCATGCATGTGTACACATGTGTATGTATGTGTGTGTGCATGTGGAGGCCAGGCCAGGGAAGAGTACCTGTGTGCATGTATGTGCGTATGTGTGCATGTGGAGGCCAGGAAAGAGTGTACATGTGCATGTATGTTCATGTGTGTGTGCTTGTGGAGGCCAGGCCAGGAAAGAGTGCTCATGTGCATATATGTGCATATGTATATGTGTGTGTGTGTGTGTGTGCATGTGGAGGCCAGGCCAGGAAAGAGTGTGCATGTGCATGTATGTTCCTCTGTGTATGTGCATGTGAAGGCCAGGCCAGGAAAGAGTGCCTGCATGCATATATGTATGTGTGTGTGCATGTGGAGGTCAGGCTTGAGAAGAGCGTCTCGCCCTCTCTAGTAGTGGAGGTGGCAGCATGGAAGCTCTGCGGAGATGGTGAGGGAGAGGATGTGAGCCATCGTGGAGCTGTCTGGGGGACGGTGATGAATAGGATGTGAGCCATCCTTCTGGCACGGTCCAGAGAGAGTACAGCCGCCTCCATCGCCTGCCCAGAGTCCGGTGGGAGGGTCAGTGCAGCCGTGGTGGGAGTGGCAGGCAGCCAGCAGGAAGTCAGGGGAAAACAGCTGGAGCTGGCACACAGTTTCCAAAAAAGAACTGGCAGGTACGCCTGGTGCTCCAGGGGAAAGGGCAGGTGTCAGGGGCCCAGAGGAGAGGAAGAGCCAGCGCCTCCATGGAGATAGAAACTCAGGATGGCAGGGGATGGCTGTGACCCAGGGGAGTCAGTCCTGGCCAGACAGTCCTGGCCAACAGACATTGCTGGTGCCACTTTGCTAATCTGAACTGGTCCCTTTTCCTGGGAGCAAAGGGAAGAACAAAAGCTGCCCCTATAAAATAGTACCAGTGGGTGTCACGTGCTTGGGGTCGGTGAATTATGTGTCAGTAAGCACTGGCCTTATAACATGTCCCTGAGCCCACCCTCTGCGTCCCACTGACACAAGATCTTTCTAGTAACTATGTTTTCAAACTGTGCATGCGTACTTGGAGGGTGTGTGTGTGTGTGATTTATATAAGTGCTACACTGTGTTTTATAATAAAATGTAACAGAAGTTTCATTCTTTATAACAGCCTTTGGTATACCGCATGCATTTGCCTATTTCCTGATGCAAACCAAACAGGATTAACACTTGAGAAGTGCTTATAAACTGTAAAATCCTGTACAAGGGCAAGGTATTATTACCAGCAGTATTATCCTTCCCAATGGTAGAAGTTCTAATGGTAGGATACTCCTAGATCGTATATTGTCGGTGACTCCTTCAGAATTAACCGCTGCTGGCATTGTGTGGGATCCTGATGACAGTGGATAATAGATACATAAAGCTGGATGTAGACAGGAAATTGGTAATTTCTCTAGGCTTCTCTCACCCTGTAAGTTGCATTCATTAATAAAGTGCCTGAGTCCACAGTGCAAGGCTTTATGCCCCCGAATGTTAAATATTGTTAGTAATCGACAATGTTGTGGCATTGATACTAGCTCCACCTTCCTTTTTTTTAATTTAAGTTTTTAGTTGTAAACAATTAGACCTATAGAAGAATTGCAAAAATAGTAGAGAGTTCCTGTATGCCTTCCACCTGGCTTCCACAAATCTCCCCATCTTACAAACCATGCCCCATTTATCAAAACTATGGAATTAACATCGCTACTATATTATTAACTAAACTACAGACTTCATTCAGATTTCACCAGTTTTTCCATGAATGTCTTTTCCTGTTCCAGCATTCAGTTGCATTTGGCCTCCTCTGAGTTTTTCTAACTTGTCCTTATAAAAGGAGATACAGGTGGTCATCTATAAATGATCTGAACTGTGGTGACACATGCAAACAGTGACATTTGGGCTGAATTTAAAATGTTCTGAAACAAAGTTAGAGCCTGGTATATAAATTTGATCTTAGAATAATTATTTGTGTTTTGCCAGGGTCATGGGTCTCAACCTTGGCCGCATGATGGAATTCCCTAGGAGACTTTATAAAGTGCCAATGCCTGGGACCTACTACCCCCAGAAAGTCTGATTTAATTGATGGGGTGTGGCCTGAGCACTGAGCTCGTTCAAAGCTTCCCAGTTGATTCTACTGTGTTTCCCCCAAAATAAGACAGGGTCTTATATTTATTTTTCCTCAAGAAGACACCCTAGGGCTTATTTTCAGGGGATATGTTATTTTTTCTAAGCACGGTACAACAATCTACATTTATTCAAGTATAGTTTAAGTCGTCGTCTTCTGAAACATCATCGTTAACTCTCCAAACCCCGAATTCCATCCTGAATTTCTTGTGACTCTATTTCCTTTAGAACCATTGTCCCCAATCTCTTCTGTCCAGCAATAGAGCTCTCATGGAGCAGATGAGAAGGGCTGCTCATCTTCTTTACCGCTCTGCAATGAAATGCACGGGTTGTGCAGATGCACTGCGTAGCCACGCCCATCACTAGGGCTTATTTTCGGGGTAGGGCTTCTATTGCGCAAATGCTTAGCAATCCTGCTAGGGCTTATTTTATGGGTAGGTCTTATTTTCGGGAAAACACGGTAATGTACGGCCAAGTTTGAAGACCCCTGTTCTAGAAAGAGGGAATGTTGACGTTAATTTCCTTTTCTCCCTCACTCTAGAGCTAAGAGGAGAAGCTGATTTTACTTAAACTTTGAATGTTGGGGGCCAATAATGACACATCCCAGGGACCTGCCAAGTTATAGACATTGTGGGTTCCCTTCTCCGTTCCGTTCCTGACAGTTTGAGAACCAACTCTGAAGTTGAGATTTAGTTTTTCTATGTGTACAAGTAGTGTAACTGAGATACTCATTTATCAAACATTGGCATCCATCATTTAGAGAAAGTCATTTTTACATTTTATTTTTGAAATATTTCTATTGTTTAACCACTTGAGTTTTGATTTTTTTTTTTTAATTATGGGCTGGGGCTGGGTGGGAACAGAGGTTCCC